TAAGGGAACCAGTCCCTTCTGCCCTGTTTCTACATAAAGTGTCTTTTAGACAGCACCTCACCAAAGCGTGTGATGCCTCCAGGTGACACCCACGGCTGAGAGCAGTGGCAGCAGGACACAGCAAGTGTGGAGCAGTGCTTTTGGGACAACACATCTGGGGACACAGGCACTGCAGCCCTGGTGGCTGCAAATTCAGGCCACCAAATTCAGATACTTTAAAATTTCAGGTCATCAGGGCTTGGTTGATGTTCTTATCAACTGAGAAAATGCCAGCAAAATTCAGATTCAGGTCTGGATTTTGTAGTCCAGCACAGAGCTCTGCTGGGGCTTACTCCACAACCTCCTGATCAGCTTCCTTCACAGTACATATGAATGTAAAAAAAAATAAATTTATATATGCCTCTCTCCAACAGTGCTTTTAGGGGCTGCAGCTGTAGGTACTGAGGGTTATATAACTCAGTTCCTCTGACAAAGACACATTTGGTTGAACTTTAAACAAGGGACCTTTAGAAATCTGTAAAATTTTAACCATCAGTGTGTAACAGCTTCTAGGATGTTTCCCACCTTGTAACATTTAAAACAATGATTCATCTTCATAAGAAATATGTAACTGTCTGAAACTAACTCTCAAATAATGTTAATTATCTGCATGGTCTGTGTTTCTGCATATGCAGTTTCCAGCTACCAAGACTGGACGTTATGAAAGCTTTTACATGACATCAGCTTTCCAATGACCAGTCAGTTATAAAATACAAAATTTTTAATCTGCATCTGATTGTCACAACTTAAAAATCACAGATTTTATGAGAGCTACAAATCATTTTTAGACTGTGCAGTGTGGACTAAACGCCAAGGTTTTTTGTTTTGGCTTGTTGATATTTCCTGAAAACATGAAACAATTCTGAAAGGACAGATTTCCTGGCTCACAGCTAAAGGTCAGCAGTCACACAGGGACTGCTTGCTAAGTGCACCAAAAGGAAAGATTGGCGCAACATTGCAGTATTATTAAAAAGTGATTTAAGTGGGGGAAAAGGGAGAAAACAGAGAGACAGACAAAGATTATACTCTCAACAATTGAGCTTTCACAAAGATTAGAAAAACAGCCTTGTTCCTTGCTGCTTGCAGCCCCTCACTGTCACTCCAAGCACTGCTTGCTCTTGTTCCCTCTACCCTTGGAAAGGGGCTGCTCTAACCAGGCACCACGAATCACTTCTAGAGCCTTTCCTGAACGGTCCAAAAGTTTTTCCAGGCTCATTGCTGCAACAGATTATGGAAGTACAAGTTTAATTTGTACTGGGAAGGACAGGAGTTCAGAATTCCCATGATTGTGAGCAACACTGACATTCAGTTGTGTGATATTTCCAAAAAATCCTCGTTTTCCACAGCAATCTCCCCCAGACCTGAACAATGTTTGTAACTCTCTCCCAGCACAACTGAAGAGCCAGTCCTGTTCTGCAGCTGTCAGAGGGGGCACAGCCAGCTCACATCTGTATTCTGAACCACTGTGTGGACGAAGCTCCTTGTCAGTGTATTTAATTTTGTAATAATAGATACTGAAATTTCCCAAACAAGATAACAGTTTGAAAAGAAGCACACTCTGCAATCAATGTTGGAAGCACCTTTAAAAGAGTATTTAGTACTCAGTATTTAGTCTCAACAGAGGCTGTATCCCAGCTCCCTTTAAGACCCCCAGCTTGTTTTTATTTTTGTTATTCATGTTTTTCTTTCTAAGTATAGGCTATATACAATTTTTCAGGCAAACAAATGCCAACCAAAACCAACCTAGCAGCCTCAAGTAGGTCTCTGCTACAGGCCCTGCCCCCAGGGAACTACATTTGCCTCCCTGTCTGACCAAGAGCCCGGGGCCATCAGAATTAACAAAGAATTTGTGCCTTTAATCCTGCTAATGAAATACCTATACTCTGACCACAACATCCTCCCTAGCACTGAGTTATCAAAAGCATATGCTCCCATCACTCATGGTCTGTGCTTCTGGTCCTTTTTCTTTTTTTTTTTTTTTTTTTTAAATTAAATCCAATTGGTTGTAGAGCAAAATGCTACCTTTTCAGTTAAAAGGTTAACAGCAAGCCTACGACCACATGTACAGCTTGCAACTGATGTCTCCAAACTCTGCTAACTACAGTAACATAGAGCAAAACAACAAATGTGCTGGTAAGCAGCTAAGCAATACCATATAGGCTGTTTAAATTTAGCCCTGGCAGATCCTGGAGGAAGGGCATCTCCAGCCATGTGTCCTCTGCTGTGCAGAGAGAGCACGCAGACTGCAGGATCCTATTCCACACACCTCACTTTTGAATATATGGCTACACCTATTGCATGTCACACGTGCATTTTCTCTAAAAGTACTTGGTATGAGATAAAGGGCAGTCAGCTCTTGGACACAAAATGTTTGCCCCAAAAGCAGCCCGGGAGACTGAAACAATAGACTCTGTAATTCCTTGCAACATCACAAAGCTGCAGCTCAGAGCACAGGCGTGCTGACAATTTAGGGCTCTACAGACCACAACCTGCAAGGATGAATTACTCTCCAAAGCAAAATGTTGACCACAAGCGTGGAGAACATTACTTCAGAGGCAGATTGCTGTAGCCTTGCTATTTTCTATCTGGAGCTTGGAGAATTTACAAGTAGAGACTATTGCCATGATCAGCAGTAAGAGTACAGGCACAAGATTTGCTGTGATGAATCCAAAAATAAGACAGCTCTGGGCCTGAAGTTCAGCATGCCACACCTGCTAGCAGAGAATATATGAATAATCTGATCTTCAGGCTACAAACACTTTGAGAAAGGGTTGGACATCCCCATCCAGTGGAGCCTCTCTGCCTCCTCCTAAGGCCAAATGAAATCGTTAATGTGAGGACAAGCTGTGCATCGATAGCTCTGAGACCCCAGAAGCTGCACTCCAAGCTGCTGCTGAGGAAATCCAACAAAATCAGGCATCCGGTGCCAGCAAGACTAGAGCTCATCCATTTGACATAAGAAAGCTCCGTTATTGAACAGCTCTAAGCAGCACTACCTGCAAAAAGTCTTGTTAACTGTGAGATTAATAACATCTCCTAGAAGCTAGGGCAGTTTCTGTGGCATTGTTTCAGGAGCTGAGGTGATCCCATTGCCCCACCACCAGAAGTCCCTCAATTTCAAAGCATTTATGCAGTAGCTAAAGAAAAATTAATAGTACTATTTAAAGGTAAAGTCATGCTTGAAACTGAGACACAACATGATGATTTTTTTTAATCATGTCTTGCATTAATTATGAACTCTGTATTGATTACAAGGGTAGTTAAGCACATGAAAAGGGTATAATGGGAGCAGGAGACATCTTCCTGGCCTGTGGGCTCAAGTGAGGTTGTTTCCACTACAGAACACCAATGATCTGTGCATTATGGTCTGTAAAAGTAATACTTGGCTTATTGAACATTTACTTAGTTTGATACTTAAAAGAAACTTGCGTATGCACCACAGAAATAAAGTGCAATCTTTGTAAAATTCTGGGGAATAAAACCAAATGTCTCTAACTGACAACACAAGCATCCCCCTTTTATATACTTTGTTTTGTTTACTGTTACTCTTACTGCTGTTACTATTATTATTAATCCACCAAAATATCACACTTAGACTAAACCAGTTTTTTACTAGGAAATTTCTGCTTATTAGTATAATCCTCAAAACTTCCATTAAATTGTATACTCTCTTACATGACAGATGCAGAACTCTGCTCTTTGTAGTGGCTGTGGTGAAAATAAAGAGCAGATGCAGGAGCCAGTGCTCTGACAGGGAGTGGAGAGAGAGGCACTAACCCCTGTGAAGGGCTGGATTTCAGAGGTTGGTAATTGTGCTCAGCAGCAGCTACGCCAGGTCCCATTCAGACATCAGTCAGAGCAACCACCATTGTCAGGCTCTTTTAAAAATCCTGATTGTCACCTTTTAAAGCAGGTGAAAATCAATTAATTTTGAGCTTATAAAGGAATGCCTTTGCTGTGGCCAACCTTGGCCACACACACAATGCCTTTTGCAGAGATGCACTGCCTTTTCTTCCTATTTAGTGTAAAAGCACTTCATCTTGGTTATAAGCCTGAAGGTCAGGCTTATTTCTTTAGCTCTATTATTTACTACTTGAATTTCCAGTTCCACCTTTCTGGCTATTACAGCTTCTTTCCCTGACTCCTTTTCACGGTAACTCCATGATGATGACTGTTGATAAAGTTAGGAGGGCCATGATTCTAAGTGTCTGACCTTCTTCAAAATCTGATAATGGATACAGTTTCTGAATCACAGGTCATCTCAGTTTTGTCAGTAAACCATTTATTTACAGTGGCCTTCAGACCTCCAGGCTTACTGTGCACTCCAAAATGGATTTTTCAGGGAACAATAAAAGTAGGAGAGCCATCCTTAGCCTTTGCTTAGGTTAGGAGGGATACTGGACTTTGGAGAGAATGTTTGTCCACAACATCTTATCCACCACAGTCTCTAAGTAACGTTTCCAGATGTTTGTGTGAAACTGACAGTTGTAAGCATCCAGTATGAACTAACCTCCTTTTCACTTGCAATCTACATGGAAAGGGCAAGAAAAATCCATGTCTCCTTAAACTCTCCCCACCTACTGAGGGCTACCCAGTCACCTTTGCAATATTGTTCAACTTACAGTTCAGGGCACAGTGCCAGCTTTTACATCACTGCCTCAAATGCAACTCCACTGTGGTAGGAGCTGATTACAGCTCCTGTGTCAGTGCCAAGGCACACCAGTGTCTGCCAGCCTCCTCCAGTGGCTGCTCCGAAATGGAGATCTCAAAATGCCTTGGTCTTACAGAAACACTGCCAGCAGTACAATTCCTACAATTCCAGCAGCTCAATGCTTCACGCAAACTGTTGAGTGAGATGCAGAGAAAAGCGTGTCAAACACCAACTCCTGGCTCCAACAGTGCCTGGAAAACTGAGCAGTGACTGGATCCTGAGCAGAGGGAAGCAGGCAGCTTTTACTTACTGTCAAAGCTTCTGTGCTGTGCTGTTAGGGTGGCCTGCACAGAGCGACCAGCCTCTTTCATCATGGCTTCAAATTCACTTCGGCTTTTGTTTGCAAAGTTCTCCTCCATCTCGCTGGTGCAGCAGGTGTAGCCTTGTGGGCAGATTCGCAGGTGCTCCCCTAAAATGAGACAAAATGCAGTTTAATGGCCAGGTCTGCAAAAGGGAGAATTTACTGCTGGTCAATCTCAGCTTAAAAATATCCCAGCTCCCTGGTAACCTGGATCTGCATCACGTCTTTCTGATTTACCACCTAATTTGAGTTCTCCCGCTTTAATACAGTGCTTGGTATCAATGCAGGCGCAAATTTTCTCACTGTTGACTGTGAGAGAAGAAAAGCAAGAAAAAAAAATTCATATATGGAGCAAGGAGAAGGGAAAGTCACCTGCTCAAAGTCTGCCCTAGAATCCCAGAAGACATGGAAGTCTGATTAAATGACAGCTGTACTCATTAGACTTAATATGTACATTAGCACAGCCATTTGAAACTGCTTTGTAAGGAAAGAAAGAAACAGCTCCAAAGTGCTCCCTGCTCTACCAAATATAGCCTGAGAAGGCATTTCCTTAACCAGAGAGGCGAGGCTAGTGAGAAGTTTTCAAGAAACAGAGATGTGATGAATGTCACTGGAATTTGGGTGGCTAATTCCCCTCCACATGTATTGAAACTTTCAGTGAAAAAATTATCTCCCAGAAAGAGACAAAACCACCCCAAAAAAGGTTGCTCTGACAATCACTGATTGAAAATCACCCTTTGCTATAAGGAAGAACAGAAAAGGTAAGAGGACTCAGCAGGCAAATGAAAAAATTCTCCAGTATGGAGCTTCTCCTGCCCTCTGCAATTTCTTTACTGTGGAGAAGCAAGTGTTTGCACAGGCAAAGTCAGCCACATTTTAAAAATAATTGCTCAAGTTCTTATGAGTCCTTACAAAGACACATCCACCTGCAAACACACCCTATGTTTCTCTTTACCCAAGCAATAAGAATTCATTTGAATGAAATCAAACATTTATTAAACAAAATTAAATAAAATACCCCTCCTGTTCCAAGCATGTTCTGAGATAAACCAATTACCAAGCAGTTACCATGTTTAAGATGATTTGATTTGGATTGCCAGTGATTTTGCTGGCACTTTTATAGGACTGCTGTCTTAATGTCACAGCTGAGCCTAAACATCTTTAAAATTTTGTTTTATCTTGTGTGTCTAAATAGCTTCAAATCCTGAACCTGCACAGCCTCCAGAGTTTCCCATTACAGTCCTTAGCTATTTCCAGTATAAAGCTCTTGGCATACAGGTGGTAAAGGGTCTCTGAAACTGGGCATGTGTCCTACCCTTGTGAAAGTTATCTCACTAGCAGCCTAAGAGCAACTGGAGTGTTCTGTAGTTGATGTATTCTAGGCAGAAGCCATTCAGGATGAGTTTATATTTTGCTGGCCCTTGGATTCCTGCTCACAGATGACCCTTGAGCAACCTCTGCAGGGTGTGGGGGGAGCCTGCCCTTGGCAAACAGGTTACCATGGGCATCTGTACTGCCAGTCCTCCTGTCCACCTGACAGGAATTGCTGCTCACCAGCTTCTCTAGGAGAGAAACTCCCATCTCCAGCCTTGTGTTGTGTTCCCAGCTGAGAGGAGTGTCAGAGTGGTGTGTCCTGGGGGCTGCCCGCCTCCCTTGGGACCCACTCTCTGTCCCCACCAGTGCCCAAAGCAGCAGGAAAAGCAGCACCCTGCTTCAATGTAAAACCTCAAATATAAGTATCATGTGGCTCCATGCCTGCCACACCAAAGGCAAGCTCAGTTCCAGGGCTTGCCTGAGCCTCTCCTTCCCTCACGAACTGGATTGTTCTGAGTTGTTCCCTGGGCTCCCTTCGGCCAGGATAGCTCAGCGGAGGGCTCAGGCAACCCAGGCAAGCTATAGTGATTTGCAGCTCAGCTCTTTAGTGATTTCAGCTCTTTTAGCTTGCCTGGTGCTGTTGCCCCAGGTATCGCCGCAGCAGACGCAGAGAGAGAAGGAGCAGCGCTGTATGGGTTCCGCAGGGTTCTTTTATTGGGGTCTCCGCGAAGGGTCCAGTGACAGCTCTCCTCTCCCGAACTGGGCAGAGTTAGGGGTTTTTATACCTTACAGGGGTATTGAAAACTGTCCAATAGTAAGGGTCAGGGGAAAAGTGATCTATGGATATACAGGGAGATAACAGTGTCCAAAAGGCGGAAGAGAGGGGCTTCTAAAACCTTAGTCATGCTGACTTTGGTATTTCCTAGTTCAGGCTTCTGATCGCCAAGGCCTTGCAGGCCTTGTGCCTGCTACATACTGCCAGTCCTCCTGTCCACCTGACAGGAATTGCTGCTCACCAGCTTCTCTAGGAGAGAAACTCCCATCTCCAGCCTTGTGTTGTGTTCCCAGCTGAGAGGAGTGTCAGAGTGGTGTGTCCTGGGGGCTGCCCGCCTCCCTTGGGACCCACTCTCTGTCCCCACCAGTGCCCAAAGCAGCAGGAAAAGCAGCACCCTGCTTCAATGTAAAACCTCAAATATAAGTATCATGTGGCTCCATGCCTGCCACACCAAAGGCAAGCTCAGTTCCAGGGCTTGCCTGAGCCTCTCCTTCCCTCACGAACTGGATTGTTCTGAGTTGTTCCCTGGGCTCCCTTCTGTAACCTGTATTTATCTGTACAGCATCAGGGCTGCTGACATGTGACAGACAGGCAGGAAAAGGGAGCTGGAATTTTTTGACAAGACATGGCTTTGATTCCTGTCACGGCAAATTAAAAAACCCTTTTTCTTGTCTGGCTTTTTCCATCCTGTTTCTGCTGCCACAGGATTTCTGGCAAGGACGGAAGTTTTGTGCACAGCAGTTTTACTGTGGGATGCATCTGTCCATGAGTGCCTCGATGCCCTCAGGACAGAGAGGCCTTAACAGGGCCTGGCCTCTCTGAGAAGCCAATCAACAAAAAAAAGGGCCCCAGGGGATCCCAGCGGTTTTCAGAAGGGTCTTTACTTCCTCAGCTGATGGTGAATTCACCAGTTCACCAGCTGATGGTGAATTTTGGTGGTGAGGTCCTGGCCATGCTCAGAGGCCTCGCACTCAACAATGTGAGCACTCCCGCCATTTCCTCTGGGCGCCATTACCCATCGGGGCTGGCAGGCTCAGGCAAAGCCTCCCACAGCCCTTTACAAATGCCCAGCTTCGGGAAACCGAGTCACGTCAGGGGGAACCCTGGGGATCTGCCAGCAGCATTCAGGCAGGATCCATGCCTGAAACTGGGAGAGCAAACATGGATGTCCCTGCAAGGAGACAGCAATGTGCTCACCAAAGCTGCCCTTGCAGCAGGCTCCCTGCACAGGCTGCAGAAACCAAGGGGGACGGTGTGGGATTGCCCCCAGGAGGAGAGGAGGGGAGGAAGAGCCCTGTGCCTGAGCTCCCTGAGGGACACTGAGGAGCAGCAGAGCTGTGCTGTTAAAATGGGACACGTCCAGACAGACGCTCTGTGCGCTCCCAGCCCGGGCGAGGCACAGCGTGTCTGAGCAGGATGGCTCCAACCCCGCTGGGACACCTCAGCCTCCACACAGCCAGGGCGACAGGGGAAAAACAGGCAGAAAGCAGGGGGAAATCACACCCAGAGCTGAAATAGGTTGATTTTACACGACGTTGTGAATTGAAAATAGAACTGTTTTCATTCTTGAACTCCGAGCAGTTTCAATCCCTTTTGGAGTAGCATTTATCTTAGCTTTCTGCAGGTGTTTGTAAGGTACTCAGCAGGTGTTTGTGTGGTGCTCAGCACCACCACACTCTATCTCAGTGGGAAGCAAAGTTTTCATCATTTATCTCTGTAACTCAAACTCAGCACACACAGAACAGTCTTACAGCACTGTGAACATGCTTTGCTTTCTTTGCTTTTTAACCTGACCCACCCTGGAAACATTCACTATTATTATTTTACCTTTTTCTATTGATTCCAAAATAAATGTGCTCCAGAGCATATTTTGGTTCTCCTTATATTTCAAAGTCCCTTTGTTTGCCAACCTGCCTTTGTCCTATTGCTGAAGCTTGCACTATAAATATCTCTGGGTTCACTTGGCAGGAGACATCTGCAGGTACCTACAGAGAGCCAGAGGTGTTTTAGAGGAGTAAATCTCCACGATACAGGACACAGGGTGTGTCCTCTGCCCGCTGCTGTGCCACTCAAGTTCTCCCTGTGTACAGCTGACCTGTTGCTCACCACTTGCTGGACAGCACGTGCTCCCACCCCTGCAAGAGCTTTGCAAAAAGCAGACAGGCAAGGCAAAAGCAAACTGGCAGCAAAGGGAGAGCTACTCAAATCTCCTTGAGGATGACAGATGTGCTTCCAGTGACCAAGGCCAGCTCTGGGTGACGCCCAGAGAACCCTGGATTTACAACACATCTGTAAGTAAGAAAAGATGCACCTTGAGATGCTCTGAAAACAATCAGCTTGCCCAAACCTTCCAGAGTCACAGTGGTTCAGTCTGGGTCTCTCTGGAAGAGCCACCTGTCCTGTAAAAGCTGCTGAAGCTGGGGTGGGATGTAACCCACCGACTGCATGGTCCCTTGGAAATGGAAACAGGGTAGAGCAGGAAAACAGCATCAAGCAAGTATCTCATTTGTGATTAACTGTCCTGGAATGGAAAAGAATAGGCAGGAGGCTGATGACAAGAGAATATCCCACTGCATAGCTACAGGCTTGGATTGTCCTTGAAACACCCTCTCAAGCTGGCTGGGTTAGCAGATCATTTTGGCTATCAAATTCATTACTGCACTTCAGAGTGCTGAATATTAAATCACTTGACCACTTCCCACTCAGGGATGGAGTTAGGCAGGGTCCCTGCAGGGGAATAGCCCTGCCCACAGCCACCACTAGCAGGAGCTGAGACAGGGCTCAGCTTTGACAGGGCTCAGCTCCCTGCTTCTTCTGCCATGTGCTGCAGCCTCTCTGCCCTACCCACACGGCTCCCTGGGCTGCCTGCCACGGGCTGTGTGCTGTAACACACAGGAGCTCAGCTAGCTGTGCCCAGGGAAGCTCTCCAGCTGTTCACTGCTCCTGCCTTTCACCCCACCAGGAGGCTCTGGAAACAAGACAGAAGGGCAGTCCCAGGGGGGGCAAAATGCAATACTGA